ACTTACGTGATTTCTTGAGGATTGTAACGCCAGAATCTTGGGACTTGTTAACGTAATATGACCAAATGTATCAACACTACAAAATGAATCATGTTTTGCCATGTTTGCTTCTCTGAATAAACTACAGGTTTTCGTTCTTTGGGCGTTTAGGTTTGCCATTTAATTATTTCTTGAGGGTCAGTTTATCCAGAGAGTATGTCGAATAGCTCCTTCCCTATGGTTAATAGTGACATACTGTTACTGAGATATGAAAAATGGGGTGTTGCGTTACTTTGTTCCATGTGTATAATCCACAGAGGATGATTGGCTGAGCATATTTTCCTGCGTTACGTCTGAAAGCATCGGTGTTCTTGTTCTTGCCGCTGAGATACAACATCGGATATCCTAGATGACACACGTATAGTCATCATTAGGGAGATAGCAATTTGCTGCTGCTCTACATTTAGGACTTCGCTAAAAACAATGCAGGAAATGTATAGCTAAGATTAGATGAACTAAACCTTAATCTGACGTATGAAGATCAACACCTGGACAACACTGGCGTCAGTGGGGGAGTCAGAGACCTCGCAGTGTCAGCAAAATAATATATGGATTACTATTTCCTGCACCAAATATATTAACACTGTTATTTTTAGTCCTCATAAGAAAACGGGACACACAATAAATAAAGTGAATGATTTTGATCTCATGTCTTTTTTTAACATTATAAGTTATGTCACAGCTGTTTACTCGAAGTAATTTAGGCCTAGGATATTTTTGGGGCACTCATGAGTGCGCAACAGCTCGTATAAACCTTGAAAGATAATCAACCCGTGAAGATCCGGGGTTAGAACTGGTCTTCAGTAACCCATGCTTGTCGTGAGAGGCGACAAACGGGATCGGGTGGTCAGGCTCGCTGACTTGATTGACACATGTCATCGTATCCCAATCGCGTAGTACGATGCTCATGCCGTTAATCACTGGATTGTATGGTCCAGACTTGATTATTTACAGACCGCCGCCATATAGCTGGAATATTGCTGAGTGCGGCGTATCCAGTAACAGGAATAAACAATGTATTTTTTTAGCGTGCCATAATGAGCTTAATACATATTGGTTATTTAGAATACTGGATAGTTACAATCCCAAAACACACAAGCATGAGTATAACGTTATTCCGAAGTCTTCGAAAATCCCGTTCTCGTCCGTCACAAACATTATCCAAACACCGCAAATTTTCCTTGAATGTGCCTTCTTGTTATATTTCGTCAGACGGTGATTTGATAGTCGGACTGTGTCAATTGTCATTATATATTGTTCCAGTGGCGTTATTCCAACGGCAAAATAACAATGGCGTGAACGTATTGAAGAACAGGTCAAGCTCAATATTTTCGCGGACACCTGGTGTCATCAGTATTTTTCAGTGATCCATTAACGTAATTTTCAGAGCTAGTTTTCCCTTTACACGGCACGGATTTTGTTTCTTGGGATAGAGACTAAGACTTGTTATTCTTTTGTACTGACGATCTATATTATACTTATATTTCATCGGCATCGGTCCGCCGCCTAGAGTAACTGCCCCTTATCTAAACCTCGGACATAATTCTGCCAAATCCAACAGTTTTAAATTAGAGTGAGTGAGTGAGTTCAGTTTTACGCCGCTTTTAAGAATATTCCAGCTACATGTATATCACGGCGGGGAACACCAGAAATGGGCTTCACACATTGTACCCATGTGGGGAATCGAACCCGGGTCTCGGCGTGACGAGCGTACGCTTTAACCACTAGGCTACCCCACCGCCCCTTTAAATTAGAACAAAGGACCAAAACCGCAGACCAAGATAACATTCCGACGTTGCCCAACCGTGGCAATGAGGTGGTCGGATTTCTAACACTCGAGGACATTTCATTCAAGGGACACTACTCCAAACGGGTAGCTTCTCCTAGATGGTGCTGTATTAGAGGTAGCAGGCTCACATTAGGTCTGGGTATTGTAAAGTTGATGGGATTTTCTTATCCTACACTACCACATGGGGGTTCACCCATTCTATACTGGGAAGGTAGGGGTGTCAATAATTTTGTACATGAATAATATTCAAAAATATGCTTAAAAATTATGGGAAGGAGGAGGGGGGATATTGATTTTGAACATGATATTCAGGGGGATGTCACTTACTTTGTACGTAAATTTTAGGGGGGTCATTCACATTGCACATGCTTCGGCATAAAAATCATTATCCCCCTTCCCCCTTGCCATAAATTATGAACGGTCCCTTAGGTACGGTGGACATGGTGCGACCAGCAATAATGTTCCTACACAGCGTCTCTACGGGAGGAAGTACAAAAAGCCCCTCTCGCTTTCCCCGTCGGCTGCAGACATCTAGACCATGGCACCCTGTCACATACACACATGCTATTATTTGTATAGAGCCAATATCCAGCTCAGCTGCTCAGAGGGGCTTTGTTTTCCCACGATCATTGGATGTCAAACTTAAAGGTACATGTTATTATCAATCTCAACTCCCTGGGGAGCATACAACTCTTGCAGCCACTAGGCGCACCAAGTTAATGTGGCTTTCCCATCATTACGAGGCACCCATTCACAGGACACATAGTCACAGTACTTTGTCCAAGTTTACTTCACGTTGCTGTACCCGCAACTAGGTGTTTGCACGTCTTCATGTGGCCACAATCTGGTCATTTATCAACGGATTCGTGGGTTCTTTTAAGTGTACAGGGTTGTGTAAAGTACACTAAGGGTTGTGACAACACTGAAAGAGTCTGCACACAAAGTTGACTCCAAGGTTTTTACACCCGGTCACAGGTGGGCTCGATCCCGGCACCTCATGCTCGCTGGATCACTAGACTGGCTCCTTAGATCACTCGCCCCCCGCACCGTCAACACCGCCCCCCTTCTTCATCTACTCAACGGTCTTGCATATATTTAATGGCTACTTTGCTTACAGTAACCATTACAATTTGCACACAAAATCACCCAGCTAATTATAGTTCTGCATAACATTTAATGTGTTTTTATCATGTTCAGGGGGGGGGGGGGGTCCAAACTGTTCCCTTGATAATACAGTCATGTTTCCTTCAAAAATACCTACATGAATGATCATTTTCTTGAAATTGAAAACACCATTTTCACTAATAGGTAAAAATGTAGCATTCCAGCATCTAAAGAAATTTGAATGAGCCATTATCATTTAGATGGTCGTGATCGGAAAATCTTCTAAATTCAGTGTTTAAAGTGACATGCATCTACATGGCAGGGGCGTTCGGTCGTCACGCCAAAGACCCAGGTTCGATTCAATGCCCCACATGGGTAAAATGTGTGAAGCCCATTTCTGGTGTCCTCCGCCGTGATACTGCTGGAATATTGCTAAAAGCGGCATGAAACTAAACTCATTCACTCAGCCGGGCCAAAGACAGCCACTTTACAAGATGACCACCGAAGAATATCGGTAGTATCGTTTGCAAAGGGAGATTGGTTCTTTTTATGGTTGAAAATGAGAAACTCCTCTACAACTGTCAACTTCGCTTTTGACTGTGACAATCGTACAAAAATATACATGATATCATTCCAAGTGACAATTCAGAACAATCCTTTCTAAAACTCTAAGCATTCCGTGTACTGTCAATATAATCACATTCCTACTGATCGATGTGCGGAGCTTCACTGCTACGAGCAGAATTGCGAGTTTAGTTATCTATCACTGAAGAGAACACTTGGGGGCTTTGGTTTTTTGTTTTGTTTTTGTTTTAAGGGATTAATGACATAATCAATTGCAATTATTTATATATTAAGCAACTAATGACTACCGATGTGAGTTATAGTTGATACTAACGTTACGTACTGGATTAATTTTTTTAAAGTGGGTCCGGTAGTACAGCTGGGTATTGCAGAGAATATTCATATTGCGATATATTGCGATGCGAAAGCATATATTACGATATGTATTGCAATATATTGCAAGAAGTTCTTTTTTTTAACAAAAAAAACTACTTATAATCGAGTTAATGCTTGATTTATAAAGCAAAAACACAACAAAATCACCATGCTTGATTAAGCTTTAATAAAAACTTCTAATCATGACAAAATAAAAATGTAAATAATATTTGCCACAAATATAAAGGAAAGGAACAATTTATAAAACGGAAATATCCGAAGATTTCCGAATGCATGTCAAAATACCGGTTTTCAATCAGCGTATCGCAATACGTATCGTTTTCATGTCTGAACCGGTAAATACCGGTACACCGGTTATATTGCGCAGCCCTATCCGGTAGTGAAAAATATATTTAGTAATTACAGAGGGGTTTTTTCGACTTTTTATGATATTATCTAAGATAGTGTATTTTTAAGATTTTTCCCAGCTTCAATATAATTGCAAATTTATGAACATTCCATAATATTCTTGCATACTGATGTGGAAAAAAATTCAAAACATGAACATTGAATTTCATGATTCAAAATCCTCAGATCCAGCACATTTGAACACTTTTGAAAATATTTGGACTATAATATATATCCAGCCATGATTATGATTTTAACATGTGCATACTTTCACTTAATTATCGTTTTATATTTAACTAACAGGGTTTAGAAACGCAGTGAAACACACGTATTTTGTATTATCTGCTTCAGAGTAGGGACACTATCTTTACAAAACTGACACCAGTGACATCGTGGATATTGGTTAAATTAAGAATGTGTAAGCTTGTGGTTTCTGTTTACCTGCAGGTAACCCTTGCAGTATTGTAGTAGAATATTAACTTGAAGTACCCGACAGACAGGGCCAGTGATTCCAACATGTGTTCATGTAGATGGTATGCATGCTGCAATGATAAATACAAACATCTTCCAGAATGAAAATATCGAAAAAAATTCATTGTATTTTGTTCTTAGGATCCTGTGACATCAGACACCGTGTTATAATCTTTTGAAAGGCAAACATATCATAACGCAGATTCCTTGTCATGGCATTAGATTATGTTTATGTATTTGTTTTATACAGAGGCCAAGGCACAAGGACAAACCATGGATACAGATGAAGATCCCCTGTGTTTATTATTTCTTCCGCCTCTTCAGCTGAGGATTGTAACTCTAAGGCTTCTCAGCTCAAGTTCTGACTTGTCACTTAACAAATAAATAAAAGTCACCTTAACCATAATTGTCTATTGTTCATTATGTTGCTGCATTGGTTGTTCAAGGCAATAGATCGTGGGACATTGGATGCATATACTATTTTGCCGTCTCTCTCATACCCTGGTTGATAAATGTCTCGGCTGAGGCCAAGAAAATTTCAAATGTTTCACATTATGTTGGTCTTGTAGATACCAATTGTCTGATGGTTATTAATTTGAAAATCAATATTTTTTTAATTGTTTTAAATCATTTGTAATACATTTGACCATGGTATTGAAACTTGTTTTAAAAAAATCACAATACGTTAACTAATTGTATTCCAAAACGTTTTGCTTGAGCCAACATAAAGCTGTACAGACGCGCAGCCATCAGAGGGTGCAATTAGTTGAGCTGCTGATTCATGGATCCTAAGACCAAAGTGAATTCAACTTGAAGAATGTAGTGCTTGTCATGCATAGCATTGCAGGATTGGTACACATGCCCGATAGGTAAAAAATGTAGCATTCCAGCATCTAAAGAAATTCGAATTAGCCATTATCATTTAGATGGTCGTGATCGGAAAATCTTCTAAATTCAGTGTTTAAAGTGACATGCATCTACATGGCAGGGGCGTTCGGTCGTCACGCCGAAGACCCAGGTTCGATTCAATGCCCCACATGGGTAAAATGTGTGAAGCCCATTTCTGGTGTCCTCCGCCGTGATACTGCTGGAATATTGCTAAAAGCGGCATGACACAAAACTCATTCACTCAGCCAGGCCAAAGGACAGCCATTTACAAGATGACCACCGAAGAATATCGGTAGTATCATCTGCAAAGGGAGATTGGTTCTTTTTATGGTTGAAAATGAGAAACTCCTCTTCAACTGTCAACTTCGCTTTTGACTGTGACAATCGTACAAAAATATACATGATATCATTCCAAGTGAACAATTCAGAACAATCCTTTCTTAAACTCTAAGCATTCCGTGTACTGTAAATATAATCATATTCCTACTGATCAATTGTTTTCAAAAATCATAATAAGTTAACTAATTGTATTCCGAAACATATTGCTTGAGCCAACATAAAGCTGTACAGACGCATGCAGCCATCAGTGGGTGCAATTAGATGAGCTGCTGATTCCCGGATCCAAAGACCAAAGTGAATTCAACTTGAAGAATGTAGTGCTTGTCATGCATAGCATTGCAGGATTCGTACAAACCTGTGGGTATTGAGGAATAGAACAGACGTTAGGCCAACGTTGGGCCTCGTTTCCTTGCCGACGTTGGCCCAGCGGTGAACCAGCGTTAAGCAAAACATGTTAACCTTGGGCCAACGCTGACGGCCAACGTTGACACCCAACGCTGGCCAAACGTCGGAATACTATCTGTCACCACAAGCAGTGGTATGAAAGCTGACCCTGTTACCCCAAGTATCCTCATTAAGTTGTTTCGCAATTTGCAACTTGTAACATGTCAGTCCAAGTACCTTAGAGTTGTTTTGATAATGCTAATTACCACAGTAGTGTGTCCAACTTCACCATGGATAATTCTGACTCGATCGCCGATTGAGAAGGACGACGCCATGGCGTCAAACGTTTGTACACACTGAAAGTATTACTACCTGATCTCTATTACTATAGTTACTACTTTATTACTGTCTTTATCCGTTGGCTTTATCATACGAGCAGCCTACCTATTATATGATAAAGATATTATATGGAGAGCTAAAAGGCCCCAAAAGGAGCTTTCAAGAATTTGTTTTGAAATTTGAACATGAGCATGTCTGTTACCTAAATACAAAGTCCTTAGACGATGTAACACGGGGGAAAAACTTATGTGTCCAAAAGTCTTTCAGAGGCACGGACTTGTTCATGGTTAGATGTTTCTATTAAATATGGGGACATTGTATCCATCATCATGCACTTGAGGACAGCCGAAGTCAAAACAGTGTAGGATCATCAATATCCCAGCAATATGACGTCGGAGAGTAAATAACTGAGTCTGGAGCAGGCAATCCAGTGACTGACATGACGAACATCGATCCACACGTATTACTTGCATCAACCAAGCCCTCTACCGTCAGTAGGATGGGTTGCTGGAGACCAATCCTGACCCGATTCTTCCGACTCATGATGTAGCAGGGCGGTGGGGTAGCCTAGTGGTTAAAGCGTTTCGCTCGTCACGCCGAAGACCCGGGTTCGATTCCCCACATGGGTACAATGTGTGAAGCCCATTTCTGGTGTCCCTGTCATATTGCTGGAATATTGTTAAAAGCGGCGGAAAAATAAATGCACTCACTCACTCATGATATGACAAGTATAAAGAAGAGCAAACCGGAGCTTTACTTAAAAAAACAGCATTCAGCTTTAACTCAGTTTTCATGCTGAGGCTGTATACAAAGCCATGTACCAATTAATTAAGAAGAAATTGGACGCTGTATTTTATTTGCTTTTTAAAAGTAAAAGTACAATAAATCAGAATTGTAAAGTGAGCGATAACATGAAAAACTTCTTTTTAATCACCACAATGCAAAAACGTTCATTTTAGAATTTTTTGAAAACAATGCTTGAAAGTATTGTTCGTTAATAATGATAATATTATGGTAATAATCTTTTCGTTTTTCTTGAGAAATAGATATCTGGCACTAGATATTTCTTAATCCTCTCAGTGCTGGTGACGAACCCATTCGACAGGAGAGTATTACAATGTCAATATATATAAGTTACATTAAATATTTACCAAGTAGGATTAACGTAAAATTTCAGTTATATATGGCATGCATACATTCACATCTGTCTAAATATATAAGCTTCAAGTTGTTTATGTAACAAAATAGAAAATTCTGCAAGTTAAAAAAGTATTGGCCAAATTTCTCGGCACATAGCCAAACGCAACGGTCATCGTTGACATCAGGAACTTCACGTCGAGTGGTAGGTGTTTATTCTGAATTATGATTTTGTAATTGGGTCAATATGTTTTGTTCTTTGGTTAAAGAAAACATCGAAGTCCCTCGTTTTCTAAAAAAATTAGCAACTTTCGGTTTAATTAGTTATAAACAAAACAATCTGAATCGTAACATCACCGATTGGATGAATAGGAACGGCGGTAAACAACTCCACATGCATTTTGATTACCGGAAAATGTTTAATATATATAGAATTGATTACGTAAATTTTACAGTCTTAGCAAACATTGTCTCATATTTATGGAGTTTGATAGACCTTCAGACACTGACTTTGTTGACAGCCGCGATTGTTTGTAGCTGAATAATCACAACATAATGAAAAAGATTTACTGGTCAAGTGACCCAATACAGGGAGGACTCGACTTAAGCATTTAGAACTTGCACTGCTACCTGAAACTTCAGAATGACACCTCGTATTTGTATCAACGTGCACCCATCTTATGTTAATATTGTGCTGTTCAAAGAACACAGACTTCATCTGGTAAACAGAACGATGAGTTGGTAGATTGGGCTTCACAAATTCTACCTATGTGGGGAATCGAACCAGGATCTTCGGCGTGAGGAGCGAACACCTTGACCACAAGGCTACCCCACCGGCCCTGAATAATGAGTAACTTGGAGCAGTGACTGTGATGTGCACACAGGCAGTGAGTGAAGGACCATTCGAATGTAGCAATATAAAATGATCTTATCAGACCCAGGAGATTTTGGTAAAATGATGTTCTAAAGCACCTATACCAAAATCCAAAATTATACGTAATTTTATATTGAGCAGCAGGTGCTTCCTGGTTTTGTCTGGTGTTTTTACCTAAGGTTGCACCATCTGCATCTGGGTTTCATTTTCTTACATCAAGGCCTGCAATAAATTAGCACAAACATATTTTTGCTGCCCTGTTTTTGACTGTTTGTTTTTTTACTGTTCTATTTCCATATATACCATTAAAAAAAGTAGGGGATATTGGATTTACAAGATTGATAAAATGCAAATGATGAAGCCAAGGATGAACAGACGATGAAGAGAAATTAATGGAAAATCCGACAATTTGTTCCATTCCTTTGGAAATGTTTCATCTGTATAGATATATAGATTACTTTTTCTGATATGCATTGACATTGGCTGGTGGTATGCTCGAAAACTGGAATATCCCCTACATATGTGTGACACTCACAACATCTAACGGTTACAGGCGCATGACGAAAGACTACTCAAGGTATGATTTTTTAAATTAGGGGATGGTTATTCTTGACATTTCTTGTTTTAGGATGGCAGAAACAATTGTATACAGTATAGGTAATAGGTTGAGTTGATTTAAACTTGTACGTCGCATCCGTATTATTTCAGCCATACAGCGACGACACTAAGTCTGCACACACAAGTCCATTTTAATTACAAAGTTTAGAGGAGTTTCTTGAAATACTTATTTCGTTAATACAGTATAATCTACAATTAGAAAAAGTCCTAACTTTTAACATAGACAAATTTAAAAACAGGCAATGTGTCATGAACGTACATATGTATGATACAGACTACTTTCTCTTGAGTACTTCATAATCACATGCCCGCTAACGCGGGTAAATATATCTCTCAGTTTTACTGCTTGTGAATCACATGCATTTGAAGTTCACAGTCAAGTAGAATATGCTTTAAGTAGATAGTCATGAGTAAACCGACTGTGGCCAATACTTCGTCGTAAAATGACCCCATCATGTCTTAACTGACAACACAAGTAGATATAACCGATTGTTGGTTTCAATGCACGAAGTTCATTTCTTCCTACCTGGTCGTCCCACCTTTTTGCAGCTTTAGTAATGTTACCTGCTGTGCCTACGTGCCTGGTAACCAGCTTTAGTGTTACCTGCTGTGCCTACGTGCCCTGGTAACCAGCTTTAGTGTTACCCTGGTGCCCTGGTAACAGCTTTAGTGTTACCTGCTGTACCTACGTGCCCTGGTAACCAGCTTTAGTGTTATTTAGTGTTACCTGCTGTGCCTTAGTGTTACCTGTGCCCTACGGTAACCAGCTTTAGTGTTACCTGCTGTACTGTGCCTACGTGCCCTGGTAACCAGCTTTAGCGTTACTTGCTGTACCTACGTGCCCTGGTAACCAGCTTTGTAGTGTTACCTGCTGTGCCCTACGTGTCCTGGTAACCAGCTTTGTGCCTACGTGTTACCTGTTACCTGTGTGCCTACGTGCCCTGGTAACCAGCTTTAGTGTTACCTGATGTGCTGTGCCTATGCCCTAGTGCCCTGGCAACCAGCTTTAGTGTTATCTGCTGTGTGCCCTGGCAACCAGCTTTAGTGTTACCTGCTGTGCCTACGTGTCCTGGTAACCAGCTTTAGCGTTACCTGATGTGCCTACGTGCCCTAGTAACCAGCTTTAGTGTTACCTGCTGTGCCTACGTGCCCTGGTAACCAGCTTTAGCGTTACCTGCTGTGCCTACGTGCCCTGGTAACCAGCTAAGGTCTATGTCAGATTGGCCAGTACAAAGATCGTTGTGAAGTGTGTTGAGGATGATAAGGTGATTCGAAGTGACATTTTGAAGTGCCTGGAGGCAAGACAGTGAACCTGAAAAGATTATGAAACCTTTTGAATGGTTTTGTTGTTTAATGTAGGTCAAAGCCGTAAAGTTAGTTTGTGCCTCAGCAATAAAACTGGTGGAACCAGCCTTTTCAGATTAGGAAGCAGGTTTTCAATGAGAAGGTTCAAAACACACTTGTATGCTGGGTTTGACTGTTTTGAACGCAATTGGCCCTAAAAGCTCCAAGACAGAACCTAAGGCCTTGGTAGTGGACACGATAAATTATTTTCTAAATTGCCTTGCAGGCTCCACCATAGACAATGGAGCCATAATCTAGTTTAGTTTAATGACCTGTAGAAGTGAAAGGGGCTAGTCTGATCCCTTCCCCACTCAGTATTTGAAACGACCTTTAGTAAATCAAGAGCCTTCAGGCACTGTGCTTTCTAATATTTTATGTGTGGTAAGAATGTTAACTGACTGTCAAATATATATCCCAGGAATTGGTCCTATTCTACTTCACTGATGGGACTACCATCTGAAAAATAATTCTGGATCCTTGTGCTGTTTGTATTTACGACAAAAGTGAATACAATGTGTTATGGATTTCGAAAACTTGAAGACGTTTTCATTGGCCCATTTTCATAATTTTGTTCAGACAGAGCTAATCTTATCTATTCTTACCACGCATGAAATGTTGAAATTATCCAGGAAAAGTGACCCATCAACACAACTGTTAAACGTTAGTAGTATTGTTCATGTTGACGCTGAAAGGTGTGGCAAACAGGATGCTGCCTTGAGGGACGGGCCCTCATCTTGGTTGAAATAATGAGACACTGTTGAACCCGCTCGTACTTGAAATTGTTTGTTGTTTAAAACCTGAGATATGAACTGAGGTAATCTGCCCCTCAATCCACATTCATGCAAATCTTTTAAAATACCATGTTTGGCGGACATTGTTGGGAAGAGTATCATTAAAATACCTCACAATTATATGTATCTTATCGTATCTACATATTCAATGTAAATCAAAGATTGGTGCTTACATCAAGAAAAATTCAAGTAGAAGCTACTGAGAAACTTGCTGTGATACATCAACTACCGTTTCCGGGTCACTGGAGTATACAAGGTCAAATACGTTCTGTGATGTCCCATTTATCTTCAAAATCACAATGGGTGTTTTTCATATGAGCTTTGATTAATCATGCTAATAGTTATTAGTGTTAAATCTGGGTTTGACAGACGAAACATTTTCAAGTTTATTCTATGATGAAAACATGTTTTCACTTTTGTTACCTTTACACTTCCTTAAAAATTGTTAGATTTTGCGATATTATTTGTCTTTTCTCTCTCGTAATATTATACTGAAAGTGATAAATGAAACACTCGTCGAATGAGAAGTTCATCATCTTTCACCATATATTTTATTCATGAGTGAGTGAGTTTTAGTTTTACGCCGCTTTTAGCAATATTGCAGCAATATCACGGCGGGGACATCAGAAATGGACTTCACACATTGTACCCATGTGGGGAATCGAATCGGAGTGACGAGCGAACTTGTATTCACGAAAGTGGTGTAAACTTTGTTAATATTAAAATAGCAATATTTATTGCAGAGGTTCAACGAAGCGCGCCATGTTTGTTTTTCGTACGTAAAATGGAATACGACACGGGCTTTATGTGGTTCAGTGCCTGTGACTATCTTCATGTGCCATGTTCCATTCAGCCATGGGTCATTGTGGTACTGACATGTCATGTGTCATTTCGTCATGTGACATGTGCAGTACGCTTCTTTGGTTGCTGTCAAGTAAAACTCTCCACTGTTTGGTGAGTATCGATCCAACCCCGATATTCACACATGGGCATTTTGGAGAACAGTTGTAAGAGTAATCTCCCTTGGTGGAATATATACGCTTCACTGCATACCTTAATATTGGTGCCTCATCAGTGGGCAGTCAGGTGTATTGATCCAGTTAAATGGGCATTGACATTTAGACATGTAACAACACTATACTTGGATAGTGATGTTTTGCTGCAAAATGTAAACAGTTTAACACCACTTTGGACGTCCCTATTTTAGTAATCACAGGCGTCTATTGTAGATTCCGGGTTAAGACGATTGAACAGGGATATATTGCTTATAAACCCTTGATCATAATGAGAGTGATAATAATGTCCTGAGATTTGGCCCAAACTGTGCGATCAGCGGATCCTGCAATGGCTTAAGGAGAAACTTTCCACGTCGAATAGCGACATCAGAACTCATCCTATTAGATTGCAGTGGGGTAGCCCAGTGGTTAAAGCGTTCGCTCGTCTAATAGAGAATGGTGATGAACGTGATGTATTATCTTACCTCACACATAAATGTCGTTTTCTGATTGGCTGAGCCAATCAGTGTACCCAGCTTACAAGCGAGTAACATTTTCTATGTTAACCTCTGGAAATGCCGAACTGTGGGTATTCGTTTGGTACTTCGTGTTAGTGGTGTTTGGACTGTTGCCTAACTCCGGTACTCCTTATTATGATCGAATATCCGTGCTTCAAACAGTTCAAAATTAACATTAAAGTGTTCAGTAAGGTAAATACAGCAAGCATGACCATCCGATCCCGTTAGTCGCTACCTACAAGTATGGGTCACTGAAGATCAATTCTAACCCGGATCTTCACGGATACAGCAAACGATGTACAGCAAATAAACGGAATTTCGTCTACAAAGGTAAATCGGAGCTCATGGGTTGATGTACCCTCTATGTTTGTTTATGATCCCCTCGTCCTTCGGGCTCAGGGAACATAAACAAACATAGAGGGTACATGAACCCATGTCCCCCTCGTGACCAGTGAACAACTTATAATATCTTCCAAGAGATTTAAATTCTTCACAACACGCAAAGGACTATCTTTGAAACCACGAACACTTCGATTTACCTTTGTAGACGAAATTCCATTTATTTGCTGTACATCGTTTGCTGTATCCGTGAAGATCCGGGTTAGAATTGATCTTCAGTGACCCATACTTGTAGGAGGGGACTAACGGGATCGGGTGGTCATGCTTGCTGAATTGGTTGACACATGTCATCGTATCCCAAATGCGTAAATCGATGCTCATGATGTTGATCACTGGATTGTCTGGTCCAGATTCGATTATTTTCAGACCACCGCCATACAGCTGGGATACTGCTGAGTGCGGCGTTGAACAACAAAACCATCAAAGCACGTGCCGTTGTTGATTTCCTATGTCAAGAAGCAGTATCAACTGTACCTTGTCCCACCAGGAGTCCAGAACTTAATCCCACAGAGCATGTTTGGGTCATTAGGGGTCGCAGAATATTACAGGGTCGGATAGTCAGGCTCGCTGATTTGGTTGACACATGTCATCGTAACCCAGTTGCGTAGATCGATGTTCATGCTGTTGATCCCTGGATTGTCTGGTGTGAGATCGATGCTCATGCTGTTGATCACTGGATTGTCTGGTGTGAGACGTTAAACAATAAACCAACCAACCTGCTTTCTTGTGTCGTGGAGAGGTCTCACAACGCCTTTTAATGAGGTCCCGTAAACATAAATACATAGGGGCAACTTCTGATAAAGGAGTAAGACTACACTGTCAACGTCGTTACGTCGTTACGTCGTGACGTCGTGACTGTGATCGTCATGTGCCACATTACAGATTACAGGAGCTGACACCCATATATTCCCCTTTCATGTGTATCACTACTAAAAGCCCTTTAAAGAATTTATGAAAAGGCAAGGTAATAACCTTCTTCAGTATTATTTGGACTCGACACAATCACACCTACAGAATTAGGTGGGAGGTGGTTAAAAACTGTGTCTATTTTGCCAGAGGGTATCGAACCTTGCGAGTCTATTCTGACAGGTATGCGTGTATTCACAAAGCCAGCATCACGTCCACGGCACGAGAACATTCTGTCTATACAAGAACGCTCTAGTATAACATTTAATGTAATGCATCACACCAACGTGGGCTGTTTACCAGTACATTCCTTCTTTACGAATCTGGTCAATTCAGATTATATATATATATACATCTATATGCTCGCAAACAAACCATTAATCATACGTATTTTTAAAATTTTAATTTAGATCGCGATTCTATAAGTGGGTTCTGTCTATATTCAGAGCATGAGTCATCAGCCACGGTTAAGGAGAAGCATTAAGTCGTTGTTTGTAAGCAATAGCTATTTTGGGCTCTGCGTGCGAAAGCTGAATAGGGTACATTGAGTACGCCTCGAGGCTCGGGAATGTCCGTATAGATACGGACATATCCGAGGATGTTCGTAGAGTGACAGCTATGCACGAGCGTTAACGGAAAGGATACGGACATACCCGAGCCAGCATCTTCAAACGACGAAGACCTGATAGGAGCTATTTTAGTTCGTACGTAAGAATTGGAATGTTATTTGACCTTGAGAGTAACGTCATAGCACGTTTTGATGACGTGAAACAGGACGGGGTTTTTTCTGTGCAGGTGTTTTACTGCCAAGTGGTAGGGTATGACTGTACAAGCGACGTGATGCAATGTTGCTGTAGATGCATGGAGAAGGGAGGAGAGGTGAGTGGAAAGTCTTAAACAGGACGGTGCGCGCATCTGACGGCATCGAGTGATGCAATGTTAACATACTTCAGCGTGTGGTGTATATGAGTGTGAGGGAGGGTGGTGAGGGAGGATGGTGGGGGAGAGGGGAGGGCAAGAATGTCTGTAATAAATTAGGATCCTAGAAAGCGGAGAAAGTACTCGTCAGACTCACAGAAGGAAATAATCTTAACACACCTCAGAGCCCGCACAGTCCAAAGAATAAGTTATGATAAAAATGCCGTCGCTGGTAATTGCCAGCAAGGCCCTTCCGTCGTCCCTCAGTTCGAATTCGCTTCTCATTGGGAATAAATTTCTAAAAGACGTTTTAAGTCAGAGAAATGAAATTGAACTCTCTAATACTATCTCGAATGAGTTGAACAGTTAAGGTTTAGGTTCACTTTATACCGAGACAAGAACTCCAACACATACAATCAAGACAATATGTAAAAACTAACGCAATATGTAAAAACTTAACGCAAAACGTAAAACATAACGCAATATGTAAAATATTAACGAAAAATGTACAAAATGTCTTTAACACAGTACGTAAACGCCTAACGCAAAATGTAAAAACAATTTTTAACGCAATATGTAAAATATTAACGGAATATGTAAAATCAAGCTTTTGTTGTTGTTTATAAGCCTTGGCGACTGAGATTCATTGTTTTAGAAACGTCACTTCCTTGAATTTCAAATTATCTGAGATATTGCAATATTTCTGTCAAAATTATTATCATTTCTAATTCAATTGAAATCTGATTTATAGGGGCATTACACATCAAAGTAAAGCCGATGTTTGTTTAATATACATTTATGTTTCTTGAATGGTGAGGGAGTAGTTTTAGATACCATGGACATTGAAGAGTGAGTGACTGAGTTTAGTTTTACGCCGCACTCAACAATATTCCAGATTTATGGCAGCGTCTGTAAATAATCGAGTGAACAATCCAGTGATCAACATCATGAGCATCAATCTACGCCACTGGGAACCGATGACATGTGCCAAGTCAGCGAGTCTGACCACCCGATCCCGTTAGTCGCATCTTACGACAAGCATAGGTTACTGAAGACCAATTAATTCTTACCCGGATCTTGACGGGTATCGTGCAAAGAGGTCCTGGGGAAAGGATTTGGATACTTATTGAAAAGAGAGAGAGTCTTTCAGTCTTCGTGCCAGCGAAGCTGAACACACTTACGCTATAGAGTGAGTGAAATTGGGTTTAACGTCGTACTTGAGAATATTTCGCTCATATGACGACGTGCATGCGTGTGTATGTGTATGTGCAGCTGCTTGTACTAGCCCAGACTTAAGCTGGTTTTATAGTGCTAGCCCACTGAGATACCATGCCGCAGTGAAGCATGGATATCCCACTCAGACACATTATACTGACTCCGAGCCGACCAGTCCTTGTTGTACCCATTAATGCCGAGCGCCAGGCAAGAACCAACAAGTACCATATTTTAACGTCTTTTGGTATGACGCGGTCGGGGATCGAACCCGCTACCTTCCGCTCTCCGGGCGGACGCTCTAACCACTACACCACGGAGGCGGATCTTACGCCATAGAGAGGCAACAGAAGACTAATCCATCATGTCAGCTGAAGGCAGGACAACAACTGTACATCCGGCTACCACGCAGGAGGGGCATGAAAAGACTTGTCACACCGAGAACACTAGTAGTTAAGGGGACAATAACTGCTCAAGATAAGCATGGCAAATATAAAGTGAGGTAAGTTGGCCTACATTCATAGTCTGAAGTCACAGAGGGTTTAAAGGAATCCAATGAAAAATAAATTAAACGAAACGAGGCATAAGGTCAGGTTTGGATTCCTTTGTCCAAAGAAGATGGCTTGGACAATTTCCATTCATATGGATTTGAAGTTAGAATGAATTCTCCAGGGGACAGAAATTGTCTGTTTTCATCCATATCAGGTGAGCTTCAAACTTTAGGAGTTTTCCGGTCACCTGAAAATTTGCGTTCAGAAGTAGTATCAAACATGAGACGGGTACCTACCGATGCAGAAGGAGCACATCGATCCAATTATATAGAGGTTCAGTGGGATCACTACTTAAGGAATATGACCATAAGCGGGACATATGGCGATCACCTGGTTCTCATGGTTGTATCAAGAATCTTATGATAATGGTCAGACGGACCAGTGACACAAGTTCTACCCAAAGAGATTCTACCCGGACAGAGTCCAGTTACATATCTTGGCTACTTTCCTGGAAATGAAGGGGAACACTAGATGAGTCTAGAGTAGAGTAGAACAGGTAAAATTGGCAAAGAGAGAGGGAGCACAGTTCAGATCGACAGTGAGAGAGAAAGTTGTCAAGAGCAGAGGGACAGTGAGAGAGAAAGTTGTCCAGAGCAGAGGGACAGTAAGAGAGAAATTTGTCCAGAGCTGAGGGACAGTGAGAGAGAAAGTTGTACAGAGCAAAGGAACAGTGAGAGAGAAAGTTGTCCAGAGCAATGGGACAGTGAGAGAGAAAGTTGTCCAGAGCAGAGGGACAGTGAGAGAGAAAGTTGTCCAGAGCAGAGGGACAGTGAGAGAGAAAGGTGTACAGAGCAGAGGGACAGTGAGAGAGAAAGTTGTCCAGAGCAGAGGGACAGTGAGAGAGAAAGTTGTCCAGAGCAGAGGGACAGTGAGAGAGAAAGTTGTCCAGAGCAGAGGGACAGTGAGAGAGAAAGTTGTATAGAGCAGAGGGACAGTGAGAGAGAAAGTTGTACAGAGCAGAGGGACAGTGAGAGAGAAAGTTGTCCAGAGCAGAGGGACAGTGAGAGAGGGACAGTGAGAGGGACAGAGAAAAGTTGTATAGAGCAGAGGGACAGTGAGAGAGAAAGTTGTATAGAGCAGAGGGACAGTGAGAGAGAAAGTTGTACAGAGCAGAGGGACAGTGAGAGAGAAAGTTGTACAGAGCAGAGGGACAGTGAGAGAGAAAGTTGTCCAGAGCAGAGGGACAGTGAGAGAGAAAGTGGTCCAGAACAATGGGACAGAGAGAGGAGGTCAGAGCAGGGACAGTGAGAGAGAAAGTGGTCCAGAGCAGAGGGACAGTGAGAGAGAAAGTTGTCCAGAGCAGAGGGACAGTGAGAGAGAAAGTTGTCAGAGCAGAGGGACAGTGAGAGAGAAAGTGGTCCAGAGCAGAGGGACAGTGAGAGAGAAAGTGGTCCAGAGCAGAGGGACAGTGAGAGAGAAAGGTGTCCAGAGCAGAGGGACAGTGAGAGAGAGTGAGAGAGTCCCAGAGCAGAGGGACAGTGAGAGAGAAAGTGGTCCAGAGCAGAGGGACAGTGAGAGAGAAAGTGGTCCAGAGCAGAGGGACAGAAAGTTGAGAGAGAGAAAGTGGTCCAGAGCAGAGGGACAGTGAGAGAGAAAGTGGTCCAGAGCAGAGGGACAGTGAGAGAGAAAGTTGTCCAGAGCAGAGGGACAGTGAGAGAGAAAGTTGTCCAGAGCAGAGGGACAGTGAGAGAGAAAGTTGTACAGAGCAGAGGGACAGTGAGAGAGAAAGTTGTCCAGAGCAGAGGGACAGTGAGAGAGAAAGTTGTCCAGAGCAGAGGGACAGTGAGAGAGAAAGTTGTCCAGAGCAGAGGGACAGTGAGAGAGAAAGTTGGTCCAGAGCAGAGGGACAGTGAGAGAGAGAAAGTGGTCCAGAGCAGAGAGACAGTGAGAGAGAGGGTCAGCAGAGAGAGAGAGAGAGTGGTCCAGAGCAGAGGGACAGTGAGAGAGAGAGTGGTCCAGAGCAGAGGGACAGTGAGAGAAGTGGTCCAGAGCAGAGGGACAGTGAGAGAGATAGATAGGGACAGTGAGAGAGAAGTGTTGTCCAGAACAATGGGACAGTGAGAGAAAGTTGAACAATCCAGAGAGAGAGGGACAGTGACAGAGAGAGAAGTGGTCCAGAACAGAGGGACAGTGAGAGAGAGAGTGGTCCAGAGAGATAGTGGTCCACACAGGGAGGGACAGTGAGAGAGAGAGATAGTGGTCCAGAACAGATGGGACAGTGAGAGAGATAGTGGTCCAGAACAGAGGGACAGTGAGAGAGAGAGAGAGAGGGACAGTGGAGAGAGAAGTTGTCCAGAGCAGAGGGACAGAGAGAGAGAGATAGTGAGCAATGGGACAGTGAGAGAGATGTGGTCCAGAGCAGAGGGACAGAGAGAGAGAGTGGTCCAGAGCAGAGAGAGACAGTGAGAGAGGGACAGTGAGAGAGATAGTGGTCCAGAACAATTTGACAGAGAGAGCGGGATAGTGGTCCAGAACAATGAGACAGAGAGAGAGATAGTGGTCCAGAACAATGAGACAGAGAGAGAGATAGTGGTCCAGAGCAGAGGGACAGTGAGAGAGAGAGTTGTCCAGAGCATAGGGACAGTGAGAGAGAAAGTTGTACAGAGCAGAGGGACAGTGAGAGAGAAAGTTGTACAGAGCAGAGGGACAGTGAGAGAGAAAGTTGTCCAGAGCAGAGGGACAGTGAGAGAGAAAGTTGTCCAGAGCAGAGAGACAGTGAGACAGAAAGTTGTCCAGAGAGAGAGTGGTCCAGAACAGAGAGATAGTGGGACAGAGCAATGAGAGAGAAGTGGTCCAGAACAATGGGACAGTGAGAGAGAGAGTGGTCCAGAACAATGGGACAGTGAGAGAGAAAGTTGTCCAGAACAATGGGACAGAGAGAGAGATAGTGGTCCAGAACAATGGGACAGTGAGAGAGATAGTGGTCCAGAACAATGGGACAGTGAGAGAGAAAGGACAGAGAGAGAGAGATCCAAGAACAATGGGACAGAGAGAGAGAGACTGGTCAGTGGTCCAGAGCAATGAGGCAGAGAGAGAGAGAGATAGTGGTCCAGAACAATCCCAGTGAGAGAATGAGAACAATGGGACAGTGAGAGAGAGAGTGGTCCAGAACAATGGGACAGAGAGAGAGAGAGAGAAGTGGTCCAGAGCAATGGGAGAGAGAGAGAAGATTGGTCCAGAGCAGAGGGACAGTGAGAGAGAAAGTTGTCCAGAAAAGGGACAGTGAGAGAGAAAGTTCTCCAGAGCAGAGGGACAGTGAGAGAGAAAGATGTACAGAGCAGGGGGACAGAGAGAGAGAGATAGTGGTCCACAGCAATGGGACGGTGAGAGAGAGATCGTGGTCCAGAACAATGGGACAGAGAGAGAGTGAGAGAGATAGTAGTCCAGAGCAGAGGGGCAGTGACAGAGATAGTGGTCCAGAACAATGGGTCAGTGAGAGAGATAGTGGTCCAGAACAATGGGACAGAGAGACAGAGAAAAATTGGTCCAGAGCAATGGGGCAGAGAGAGAGAGATAGTGGTCCAGAACAATCGGACAGGGAGAGAGATAGTGGTCCAGAACAATGGGACAGAGAGAGAGAGATATAGTGGTCCAGTACAATGGGATAGAGTGAGAGAGATAGTGGTCCAGAACAATGGGAGAGAGAAAGAGAAAGTTGTCCAGAGCAATGGGACAGTGAGAGAGAAAGTTGTCCAGAGCAGAGGGACAGTGAGACTGAAATCTTTAGAGTTATATCATTTGGTAAGGATCAGTACAGACATATTTTTAGTATTTCATAAACAGATGTAGATGCTGTCTTCAGAAAACAAGTGAACGATTGCCATTCAAGCCGGCAATTTATGCATGAATGCATGTATGATGCACGTGCATCTCGATTTCAATGTTGTGTTTGTGTGAATAATTCCCTTTCCACAAACAAAAACATTTCTAACCTCAATCTCAAACAACACTTTATTGGGCAATACAGGCTATACGACCGCGATTCATGTTTTCCTCAAACTTGACTTCCGGTGTATATTGAAATAAATAGGTTCAAATATTCCATTGATACTTAAATGTCATTTCCAATATTACGAGACCGCCTCCGTGGTTTAGTGGTTAGAGCGACCGCCCTGAGAGCGGAAGGTCGCGGGTTCGATCCCCGACCGCGTCATACCAAAAGACGTTAAAATATGGTACTTGTTGGTCCCTGTCTAGCGCTCGGCATTAATAGGTACAACAAGGACTGGTCGGCTCGGAGTAAGTGTAATGTGTCTGAGTGGGGTATTCATGCTTCATTGCGGCATGGTATCTCAGTGGGCTAGCACTATAAAACCAGCTTAAGTCTGGGCTAGTACAAGCAGCCGCACATACACATACACACGCACGCACGTCGTCATATGAGCGAAATATTCTCAAGTACGACGTTAAACCCAATTTCACCTCACCTCACCAATATTACGACGTTTCTTTTGCATTTCAGTATAATAGTCAAATTATAACTATTGGCGCTCTCTCCATGATCATTTGCTAGGTCCGAAGTCCAATGGTCCTCTCGATGCCAAGTACCAATTGCAATTAATTCGAACCCCTATGCACAATGAGTTAAAATTAGAAATATTACTACAACATGCATTTTATTTCAAACCGATTAAGAAGGATCGATAAGTGGTTTTCTTTAAAACCCCAATTCGGTAATCACAGATGATCAACCACGGAATGGACAGTTTGAAGGAGTCATACCCAAAAGATAAAGACCTTCTTGAATAAGACCCAAAATACCATTTATGTAAACAGAGTTTGAAAAATAAAATCATTCCTTTAAAACTTTCGAAAATAGACTATAAGATCGATTACAATATATCTATATGCAAGTAAATTATACGTTTATCGACTATACTTTCAAGTATACTGAACAAAATGAAATTTTGTAAAACAAGTACTTTGAAGTTTATTTTGTCAGAAATATTATAATATCTTAGTTTTTGTAAATAAAGTCAGTTTTTGCCAAATTTGTAAAAGAATCGATTTCGATTGCCACCTGCACCCCTAATATTCAAACCTAAAACTGGATTTTACTTATTGCGTTAATTTTGAACACATTAAGTTAAAAATTGTTTTACATATTGCGTTAGGTGTTACTTTTTGCGTTAAAGACATTTTGTACATTTTGCGTTAATATTTTACAATTGCGATAGTTTTTACGTTTTGCTTTAGGGTTTTACATATTGCGCTAGTTTTTAGATATTGTATTGATTTTATATATTGGGGTTGTACACCTGATACTTTCGGCTGAGTGCATACAGCACGAAATAGGGAATGTGAATCTACGGAAGAATGAAACGTTCATGTCTATCTAAAGATACGTGTCACGACTGAGTTAAATACGATGCTATAATTCCGTTTCTATTCCGGAAAAACAACTTTTCGCCATAAATAGAATTTGTGTATTCTGTTTTCAGCGGACACTGATAGAAAACGACCTGACGGTTGATTGTGATTACGTTATTTCCTTGTTTACTAGCCTTTGTTAGGCTCATTTACTGGTTAAAGCGTTCGCTCGTCACGCCGAAGACCCGGGTTCGATTCTCCAAATGGGTACAATGTGTGAAACCCATTACTGGTGTCCCGGCACTGATCTTGCTGATGTATGCAGTCTTATTCTGACTGTGGGTTTTTCTTTAACCAATGCTACCCGTGAAGATCCGATGTAAATTGATCTTCAGTATCCCATGCTTGTCGTAAGAGGCGACAAACAATATCGGATGGTCAGGCTCACTGACATGGTTGACACATGTCATCGGTTCCCAATTGCCTAGATTGATGCTCATGCTGTTGATCACTGGATTCTCAAGTGCAGACTCGATTATTTACAGACCGCTGCCATATGGCTGGAATATTGCTGAGTGCGCGTTGGCTGCTGAAGATCAATCTTAACCCGCATTTACCAGATGGGGGAGACGCAGACTCTACCCTGGATCTTCACGGGGGCTTGTTGACAAGATGTGTATAGTACTGTCCATATCGTATTGTCCAGCATAATACATACACCTACTTTGCACGGGAGTAAGACTAAGTCTCGCGCCCAAAATACCAAAATCACTACTTCGATCACGGCGATTGGGCGCTTTGGCTTCCCACTGCTGTCAAGAAACTGGTTCAACAACAGAAATGTTATCTTGATGACGTGGACTGTATTCTTGAAATACACACCTGCACACCAATCGCTTTAGATACGTTTAGAAACACAAAAGTTTATATTAACCGTCATTTACTTATATAGCATTACTATTTCTGTCAGGTCTACTCAAGTGAAAGGGATTTTTCCGGAATGATTTTTCATACCTTAGGCTTCATTCAGCGGAGTGGAGATGCAGGAATATTTTAAGAGCGTTTCACAAGGCGCTGTTTGAATGCATCTGAATGAAGGTCACATTATGTCACATGCGATCTGTCACAAGTTCATGCGTTGCATTTCTAATTAAAGCATCAGTTTCAGAAAACGTAGCAAAAATAGTATCACCTTGCATTGTTTTATTACATAACAGTTAAAATGGTTTCGTAAGATCAATTTCTGAATAATCTGCAAAACTGACAACATTGTAAATTGTTTCATTACACTATACTAATCGTCAACTAATCGAAATGAGTGAGTGTGGTTTTACGCCGCTTTCAGCAATATTCCAGTGATATCACGGCGGAGGAAACCAGAAATAGGCTTCACATTTTGCCCATGTAGGGAATCGAACCCGGGTCTTCGGCGTGACGAGCAAACGCCTTAACCACTAGGCTACCCCACCGCCTCTAATCGAAATGAAATAATGAAATGCAATAGTTACAGTAAATAGTAGGTGTGTTGAGGGTATAAGGTTATGTAATCTGTACTTGAGACACAGATCATATGACTGTTTGTGCACATGTAGAAGGGTGGTGGTAATATATCTGAGTGATAACCACTAAGTGCCAACCTCTCATAACTCCCACCCACTAGCCTTTATAGTGTGACCGCCTCCGTGGTGTAGTGGTTAGACCGTCCGCCCAGAGAGCGGAAGGTCGCGGGTTCGATATCCGACCGCGTCATACCAAAAGACGTTAAAATATGGTACTTGTTTGTCCCTGCCTGGCGCTCGGCATTAATGGGTACAGCAAGGACTGGTCGGCTCGGAGTCAGTATAATGTGTCTGAGTGGGGTATTCATGCTTCATTGCGGCATGGCATCTCAGTGAGCTAGCACTATAAAACCAGCTTAAGTCTGGGCTAGTACAAGCAGCTGCACATACACATACACACGCATGCACGTCGTCATATGAGTGAAATATTCTCAAGCACGGCGTTAAATTGGGATTGAGAATATATCGCTCATATGACGACGTGCATGCGTGTGTATGTGTATGTGCGGGACAGAAGGACTTCCCTTCTTTGCCAATTCAGTCAATGACTGCCCAAGACACGGGTTGTTGGACCCTTGAGGATATATTATATAGGAGTTCTACTCAAGTCTACAATGATTTGGTATGTCCAGATTGGCTCAGCTTTAGGTTTAGCATAGTTTGGTCTCCATTTGTATTGTAAATAAATATTTGTTTTCATTTTATAAACTTTATTTCTGAGACTGAGTATAAAACTGAGATAAAGGCGCCATGGTTTTACAGAATTTCTTTACATGTAATTTGTCGTTAACGCTAGACCGATCGCGAGTAAAATTTGTCTTGTATATCACTTCCTATATTCCTTTATTTTAACCCCAACGCACTTTGGCAAGTCATTTTATCACAATGTAGTTAATAGCATAAACACTTGACAAACATAATAAAGAATCTGTACATATTATTAACATGGAGAAAATGGACAAATTTGACAAATATTTTATGCCGTTATATTTTAATGGAAATTGTAAATATTAAAGACTAACTGACCACGTCCCGCTATCTTAAACCTGCCAAGGGTCACACTGATAACGAGCATCGGACATAATCCGGGACCAGTATCTCTTAAGCTAATAGAGCCATGGTGTATTGTATGTTTACATTCCACGTTGGTCAAATCACGCACGAAGTACATGTACCTTCGTGGCAAACTCGCAACTGATCATCCATTAGACACATTTATCATCGATGTTTCGGTCAATCTAAATTATATAATCTTAAGTTCACAATAACAATTTATCGTGAGTTTAATCTATCGTACCTTAAGTATATGTTACGACTCTTGGCTCTTCTTCAGGTTTATGTAGAACGTTTCCTTCTCTGGTTTGTTTCTCAAATATTCAATCACTACCCTGTCCCAATATGAACTATGACTGTGTATATTGTATATGTACTGTGACTATGTACACTAAACGCCAAAAGAAACGTTACCCTCCTTCCTTTATGACGGAGGTACCTATCTTCAGCTGGCGTTGTGATGCGTGGACGTCCACTTCTTGGCCTGTCTACGGTGACCCTAGTCTGTCTGAAGCCCTGAATAAGTCTTATTACCGTGATACGGTGGCATCCGTGGGTGTTGACAACAGTATTGTATGTCGACCCCATCTGCACCATTACAATGGATCCATCTTTCTCTCTTCAGCTGTTAATCGTGGCATATTTCTCGTACTTGTGTATCATATCATGTCTTCTAGGCTCTCTTTATACCCTATAGAATCATTCTGCATGTGAAATGGATGTAAATACTGTTTGAGTATTGCTGCGTTTTGGCGATTGATATTGCTATGTGTAAAATGGAAATGGAAAAATGTTACTTTGCAAGCAAAAATGTTAACAAAGATAATTGTAGATGTTCCTAAACATTTTTTCACAATATCAAAGACACGTTTTACTTGTTTTCACTAATGCAAATCAGCAGAAAATGTTTTAAAAGACTGAAATCATAGCAATGATTATTTTACAATTTTACACACTCTACAACAGTTGTTTCTTGTTTCTAGTTGAAAATAGTGACTTTAAATAGTTTATCATTGTCCCAAAGCATAATTATATTCCAACCTTTCTTTTGGACATCAAAATCACTATTATTGGCTTATTTCGGCATGGACGGATATAGGACAATTTAACTCTTCTGAAAAAGATGCATTTCACCCAAATATGAATGCATTTGAGAATTATTTTTCGTGATTGGCATAAAGCTGTGTTGTTAAGCTTTCTTGTAAACTAAAACCTTCTAAAATATCTTTGATAGTTTTTCAGTAATTCATAAAGATAGGAGGGTAACGTTTCTTTTGGCGTGTAGTGTATATTGTATATCTTGTGTAATTACCCACTCGGGAAATTCATTAGAATGTGTTGGGTGTGCTCTATTCTATTATACATAAACTGCAGTTTGAGATTGTGTGTCTTGATTTTTAACGTTTCTAATGTATCTTTGTAATACTTTTATAGCAATGCTGTTCTTGATATTTTATATGTACTTTCATAAATTATTGTACCGTGCTTTAAAACATGATTGTATATATCCTAGAGAAGACTAATTATGCATTCATTCGGTGACTGTCTAATAAATTCGTCGTATTATTATTATTCACTCAGGTCTTGTGTTGTGTGTGGGTTGGTAGTAGTACCTCTTGCCAAGCGAGCTAATTCCCCAAACACTCGCTTGTTTAATAATACAATAAAACATCAAATGAGGGCACCGCAACGTACTTCGTGAGCAACGAACATTTTGAGAGATTTTATGGCCGCATCAAACAATTACTGTGTCGCATCTTTTTCTCTCATTTCTAATAGATTGATATTGTTTCTTGATTATTTCACAAATACATGTATCATGCATAACCGGTTTACATTTACTTAAACTTCCGTGCTATAGTTGTTTTT